CAAAAGGCTTGCATGGGCCCACCCAAGTATCTCTGAGACCATGACTGGGAGGCTGACGTGGATGGGAGAAGTTGGCACCATTTGTAACCTCTCCCGTTTCTCTTGTAGGGCTCCTGTCTTGGAGGTGCAGAGAGCCAAGGAGGCTGTTAGGGCCTGAAGTGCTTCCTGGAAGCTGACGGGGTATAAAGGCCTAAGGAGTGCAGGGTGGCCCTCGAGTCCTTCAGGACGTGCAGCCTCATGTCTGTCTGTCTGTCCCAAAAAAAGAGCAGCCTTCAAAGGGGAGGTTCTGGACAGATTGTTGGACCTCTTCTGGGAGTCCGGAGGACTGGAGCCAAGAACCACCTCATGGTGATGGCTGAGGCCATTGTCCTGGCTGCCCAGTTGGCTGCATCCAGAGCCGCCTGATTGGAGATCCTGGCTACATTCTTACCCTCTTCCAGGAGGGCAATGAACTCCGGCCTTGGCTCATGTGGCAGTGAGTCTTTAAATTTACACACTGAGTCCCAAAGATTAAAATCCGATCTCCCCAGCAACGCCTGCTGGTTGGAGATACATAGCTGAAGGCTACCCATTGAATAAACTTTCCCTCCGAAAGATCTAGTCTCTTTCCGTCTTTGTTTCAGAGTAGCACTCGACTGGCTCTGCCTATCCCATTCATTCGCTGTAGTGACCACCAGGGACCCTGGGGATGGGGTGTTGCAAGTACAGGTATTCAAACCCGCTCGCCAGTACATAGTACTTTTTCTCTTCCCTCTTTGAGGTGGAGGGCAGAGAAGGAGTTTTCCACAGGGCTTTGACTGCTCCCATTATCACCTCATTGATGGGCAAGGTGATATCACATCCAGGATGTCAATGAAACTGTGTGCTGACTCTTTGAGCTCTTCGATCTCTAGAACCAGGCTTGCCATGACCTGTTTGAAAAGGTCCTGATAGAACCTGAAAACATCTTGCAGAAGCAGGCTACTGGGCCCTGCGACAGCTTTGTCAGAGGAGGAGGAGGCTTGCATCACAGGAGGGGCTCCTTCCTCTTCTTCTGCTTCAACCCTGACCACCGGAGTCATCTCCTGGTTGTTGGCACTGGGATCAGTGCCAGAGTCAGGATCCGGTGCCGAATAGGAAGGAGTGATAGTCTGTTTCTCCAAAGCTACCGTATAGAGCTATGCACAGATACAAAATTTGTATCTGCATCTGATCCGCAAAAATGATCCACGGACATCAAGCTGATATCTGCAGATTTGCAGAGCTTTACGAATAAGAGCAGTGGGAGGAGGGGTCCCACATTGCGGGAAACCCCCAGGGTTGCGGTACGGCCACTGCATCAGCCAGAGACCTGCTGGCCAGGTACCGGCACCAAAGTCCGGTGGGACGTAGGTTGGGTACTGGTGATATGCCCTGGGTGGAGCAAAAGATTCTCCTTCAGACTCTGAAGAAGAGTCTTCTCGCAGGGACCATGCTGGATCCGTACCCACTTCTGCCTCCACATGATGCCGGGATTCTGGGGGCCGCCAAAGAGTCCATGACCGTGTTGCCGGGATCATGGTAGGCTTACCCTAAAGGGATCCAGCAGTGCCTGGGAAGGAGCCCGATGCTTCCAGTTGCCTGGGCTGGTGAGTGCCCCCTTGGACTGAATGGGATTGGAAGAGAGAAGAGGTTATTCACCGCTTGGAAAGCCTCCAGGGCCAAGGGGACCGTTGGACTACTGGCACCGCAGCAGCTTCCAGGGTCAGCAGAGGATCTCACAATGGACTCAACGCTCTAGGCAGAGTTGACGGTGCCATCTCTGGCTCAGGGGAGGAAGAATGGCCCGGCACACTGGCCTCTCCCCGCTTGTCCCTCTTCTGGTGCGCTGCTTCTTGTGCTTCCTTGGCACCAGAGATGGAGAACGGTGCCAGAAAGAACATGGCGCCAAGGAAGCGCTTCACATAGATGTCAAAGTGCTTGGTACCAATTCGGAGCAGCTCTGCTCCGAGACAGGTCGGGGAGGCCTGTCAGCCTCTATGAGGAAAGCCTTCAGCCAAATGTCCCGGTCTTTTTTTTTTTTTTTTTTTTTTTAGTGCAAGGTCTGAAGTCCCTGCAGATCTGGCACATGTCCTTTACTTGGGTTTCCCACACTTTAAACAGCTGGTGTGTGGGTCACTCACTGGCATATGTTTGCCGCAAGAAGCCCTGAGAACCCTGGGGCAAAGAGTCCTTCGATGAGAGGGGCTAACTATTCACACTACTATATTCGTTAACAATAAGAACTATACACACTAACTACAATAACTATGAATAGAGAAGAGTCCAACCACTGTTAAAGAAGCCTTGCCACAGCAAAAAGGATCATTCCAGCAACCGTCATGGGCGGTAAAGAAGGAACTGAGAGGATACAGGGCCAGTGGCACCCCTTACATCAGCACATATGCGCACGACTCCAGAGGGCACTAGAGCCAGCCCAACGGATACCACTAAGGGAAAAATCTCCAGCAACAGTGGATGCGGCACGCAAACACCTCGCATGGAATGGACATGAGCAAGTACTCAAAGAATATCTTGGTCCCAATTCATAAAGAACATTTTAGAGTACAACCAGAACTTAATTCTGTTGTAAAGTAAATGGAGTTAAAAAAACAAAAAGGAATGATGTATTTAGGGTAACCAGACTGCAAGTGTGAAAAATAGTGACAGAGGGTGGGAGGATAATAGGAGCCTATATAAGAAAAAGCCCCAAATATCGGGACTGTCCCTATAAAATCGGGACATCTGGTCACCCTAGATGTATTCACACTAGTCTTTGTTGCATATCAGGTGCACTGCTGCAAATCACAACTAGTTTGTGCAATGACAGAGGTTGTATCAGTTTTATTGCTGCAGTAATCTAGCTCAGAAGTGGCTAGGCCCTTTCTAAATGGAGGGGGCAGAGTTTCATGGCCAAACTGAAAATGAAAGGAAGTGTTCTTGTTTGAACTGCACATTCCCACTCCTGGGATGCACCAACAATGTGAGCTGCACTGCCAACACATCCTGTGAATGGACAGAGTCAATCTCTAAGACCTCTGGTTACAGGTTAATTTCCCTATCATTGTGGCAATCTCTATATCCAGGAGTAGAAACAAGCCCAGCATGACACTGAGACTTGTCACCAGATAATCTGTGGGGTGCTGCCGTCAGTCATCAGTGAAGTAAGAATATTGACAAGTTCCATAGTGTTTTTCCCTTTCTACTAACCACCTGTTTTTCCTGGGTTAAATTTGAGCCAACTACTTTTAATCTCTGATCATCTCTTCCAGGAATTAGGAAATCTATGTAACAAGGAGTTAGGTTTGGATAGAAGAGTAGTTGTACTGAGTAAATCGGCTAGGATGACTGTCATTTTAGTTTTCTTTATTGGGTTGATGTTATGTTCTTTACTTTCGGAATCAAAATCATCAGGAGTTCTCCATGACCATTAGAGTCCTAATACTCATCAAGTTTTCAGTGTTTTCAGGGTCTTGCCCATAGCTGGACTACACAGGCCACCTGGACACAGGTCATCTACAGTGCCACATTAGCTTTTATTCATTTCACGGATGGTTCTTTCAAAAATATAGTTTCTTTAACACTGCCTCAGAGTTAAAACGCACTAAATCCAATTGAGGGGGAAGAGAGGAGGTTTGGATGAACAGCAATGTCTTGATTTTTCTAAACTGAGCACATACAAATCAGCACAAATTTGTTCTACTTTAAAAAGCAAATGGATAGTGAAATGCATAACTGTCTATTTTCACAAGAAATTATGCTGTATGTGAAAAGTAGGTGCACAGTTGCATGCACATTTTGTGGGTTCATCTCCATGTGCACAGTTTACAAAACTGGGCCTGTCAAGTCCTTGACTGGAATAATTAAACTCTCTCTGACTAACTGTATACTGTTACAGTCCCCCACTCTCACACTAATTAAGTCTGTTATATTATTTCTAATCATGGTCCCTGGGATTATTACAGATGCTTTTAAACACTGATCTATAAAATCTCTTCTTTTGCTCTTTCTATCCAGGTGCTCAAATCTGTTTACACATCTAAATCAGTGGTCTCCAACCTTTTTACACCCAAGATCACTTTTTGAATTTAAGGGCAACCCAGGATCTACCCTGCCCCTCCCCCGAGGCCCTGCCCCGCTCACTCCATTTCCCCCCTCCCTCCGTCGCTCACTCTTCCCCCACCCTCACTCACTTTCACCAGGCTTCGGGAGGGGTGTGGGCTCTGGGCTGGGGCCAAGAAGTTCGCAGTGTGGGAGGGGGCTCTGGGCTGAGCATGGGGCAGGGAGTTGCGGTGCAGGAGGGAGGGAGGGGTAAAAGCTCTGGGAGGGAGTTTGGGTGCCGGAGGGGGCTCCGGGCTGGGGCACAGTGTTGGGGTGCAGGCTCTGGGAGGGAGTTTGGGTGCAGGAGGGAGCTCCGGGCTGGGGCAGAGTGTTGGGCTGCAGGAGGGGGGTATGGGGTGCTGGCTCCGGCGGCACTAATCTCGGGCGGCTCCCGGTCGATGGCGCAGCAAGGCTAAGGCAGGCTCCCTTCCTGCCCCAGCCCCATGCTGCTCTCAGAAGGGGCCAACGTGCCCCTTTGGCCCGGGGGGAGGGGGGAGAGAGACATGGCTCCGCGCGCTGCCCCTCTCTGCAGTCACCGCCCCCGCAGCTCCCATTGGTCACAGTTCCCCATTCCTGGTCAATGGGAGCTGCGGGGGAGGTGCTTGCAGGCAGGAGCACCGTGTGGACACCCCTCCCCGCTGGGGCTGCGGGGGCATGCTGGCCGCTTCTGGGAGCGGCATGGCCGGGGCAGGCAGGGAGCCTGCCTTAGCAGCAGCCCCGCTGCACCACTGGAGATTGCGATCGATTGGGAGAGTCTCTAGGATCAACCAGTCCATCGCAATTGACAGGTTGGTGATCATTGATCTAAACCACTAAATTTTGAAATATTAACCCTCATTGTTAGTTGCTTTCTTTTTTTCATAATAAAACAAGGAAACCTGAAATACCCCTAAAGAACTTACCAAATGTATAAGATGGTCACGTTCCTGACTTATATTCTCTGCCAAGCTAATAAGATTTGCTAAGTACTGATGAGCTGCCACTTCCTTTTCCATTGCTTCTCCCAACTGCTGTTTCAGAAGACATATTTTCTTCTGTGATTTCCTACAAAATATAAACATAAAAACAGGAAAATCTTATTTTTAAGCACTAAACTACTGTATAACAATTTAAAAACATTGTTTTTGTGCATACATTAGCTTTTAAACGGTATTGTCTTACGAGTCAAATCACATGTAAGGAAAGATTCTGAAACAAGATGATTTTAAATATAAAAGATCAATAGATTATAATCTAACCTTAGTACATTAGAAAAACATCTTACATCATCTTTGTCAGTTTACAGGAAGACCAAACCTCTATATTCTCTATTTTTTGGCTGTTTTGTTTCAAGCAATGAGTACTACTGAACTATTTGAATGACTAGCAAATACAGTGAAAACTTTCTAACATACTAGATGGATATAAAAAGATTCTACCAGCATTATAAATATTTTAAAAAATTCTTGTTCACTGAAATAGCTTTATCTCATGGGTATCATATAAAAGAAGTTTGTTCAGTATGGAACAATAAACTCTTCCATAACACTGAATAATTTACCAGTGTTTATTATTCATTAACTCATCATATGCAATCTTTATTATTCATTAACTCATCATATGCAATCTGACAATTTATCTACTTTTATCAAAGACCTAAAAAATCATCAAATGTTTTTTCAGATATGAACTGGCTCAGGATGCCAGGGTTACCACAAGCATCATGGCCTGTGACCACCTTGTATTCTTTCCTGATTTGATGGAGCACGTGATCATAACAAATAATCATTCCAAGAAATATCCTGTGATGCATGATAGCTAGAAATTCATGCTGCACGCCATGCAATAAAAGGGTAATCCAGCATTCTAATAATTACAACACTTTTTTTAGCTGATGGTTCAAAAAATATCAACATTTCAAAATAACATTATTCAGATCATATTTTTGCGTGTTGCAAAAAAGCATCGCAGCATGTGACTCAGCAAATCTGACCCATACTTTATCTTGCATATTTTTCCTAAATTCATTTGTTCACATCTTGGAGATTTTATTATTTTCCTAGGTTCTCTGACATTCTGTCCAGTCCATTACACACAGTTCGCCACAACAGTCTACTATAAGTTGACGATACACATATACTTTTGTTATTTTTTTTATAGTTCTGCATAATACATGCTGCACTGAGGTAGGTACTTAAATTCTATGACAATATTCCTTTTTTACTTGTGAAATGTTTGAATACTGGGCTTAATTTCTAGCTTCAAAATATGCCTACAATATGATTGCTTACCTGAATCAGATAATTGGCTAATTATAATTTTCACATGCATTTTCTCAGTGCAATCATGGTAATTGTGCATGAAAATTATACATTACAATTATTTGGCTAACATATGAAACATCAGTCCTGTATAGGTAATAGAGAAGTTAAATCATATTTCACTGGAAAGACACACAAATTTTAGAGAATATACTTAATTGGTAGCAATAAGACTTCATGTGTCTGGAGTGGGCTGTAGGGGTCGTGGGCCAAGAATATTTTTTCAGTGAGATATTACACCTCTACTCCAATATAACGTGACCCCGATATAACACGAATTCGGATATAGTGCGGTAAAGCAGCGCTCCGGGTGGGCGGGGCTGCGCACTACGGTGGATCAAAGCAAGTTCAATATAACGCGGTTTCACCTATAACCCGGTAAGATTTTTTGGCTCCCGAGGACAGCGTTATATCGGGGTAGAGGTGTACTTTGTTTTTTAAAATGTTAGTGTCGATAGAAGGAGATATCCAAATGAAGAAGAAAAGGAAATAGATAAACCTATTTGTCTTTTGTGCCATTTTCAGCTCAGCTTCCAGGATCTTGTTTTCAGCAACTAGGTCATTTTTCTCTAAGAGCAGGCTCTTTTTCTGTGCTTGCAATGATGCTAGCCTTTCCATTAGATCTTCCAGCTCAGCACTTTGCTTTTCCTGTTCCTGTTGCAACTGACTGCAGAAAAAGACAATATAAAATGGGTATCAAAGATCTACTTCACTGAGAAAATGGACAAGTTACATATTTGACAGTATATTATTGTTTTAGCTTATGTTTTACTTAGGTGTCAAAGATACAGATGTTAAAAACTTTGCTCCAAGTCAAATGGCCAACAAAGCATAATACCAATTGTGACAGACCCAGACCAGTGGGGTACAGGAGTTTGGTAGAGGGCAAATATACTGGTTACTGGATGAGTAGTTTTCTGTTCCCTGAGTGACCAGAGCAGGGGCTGCACTAGAGTAATCAGGAACCTGCTAGAACCAGTTAAGGCAGGCAGGCTAATTAGGACACCTGGAGCCAATTAAGAAGAAGCTGCTAGAATCAATTAAGGCAGGCTAATCAGGCACCTGGGTTTTAAAAGGAGCTCACTTCAGTTTGTGGTGTGAGTGTGAGGAGCTGGGAGCAAGAGGCGCAAGGAGCTGAGAGTGAGAGGGTGTGCTGCTGGAGGACTGAGGAGCACAAGCATTATCAGACACCAGGAGGAAGGTCCTGTGGTGAGAACAAGGAAGGTGTTTGGAGGAGGCCATAGGGAAGTAGCCCAGGGAGTTGTAGCTGTCATGCAGCTGTTACAGGAGGCACTATAGATAGCTGCAGTACACAGGGCCCTGGGCTGGAACCCGGAGTAGAGGGCGGGCCCGGGTTCCCCCCAAACCTCCCAATTGACCTGGACTGTGGGTTCTTCCAGAGGGGAAGGTCTCTTGGCTGTTCCCTAACCCACATGGTGAATCCCTGAGGCAAGAAAATCCGCCAATAAGCGCAGGACCCACCAAGATAGAGGAGGAACTTTGTCACACAATGCAATTACTCAATGGAAAGACATGTACTGGCAACCCTGCTCTAAATAGGATTTATATGTATGCTATATAGTCAAAATGTATCCTTTTCCTGGTATTTGGTTTTACTGGTAACTCAAATAACCACCAATAAAACTGCATGACCAGCAGTGCAGAAAGCGTGTCAATGGATTACTCACAAAGGTAAAAACGTGCTATGCCAAGAGATTAATACATTTCCATCATACCTAGTCTTGAGCAAAAATAACTCATCTGACTGTCATAAAACGTAATGAATTAAGTTCTAGACAACCTGAGGTAGAAAGTTAACATTCTCTCTGAAATATGTCCTTTAAAACACAAATCATGCCATAAAATATCACAGGCCATCAAGCAAAGAACATATTTTCATGGTGGAGGCAGGAGATGGTAAAACAGTTCTCGGTTCATTAAAATAGCTTAGCAGGCATTTTTATAAGAAACTGAGATACATAAATTTAAAACACACTGATGGTTAGTTAGCTATAATTCACTTTAAATCCCTTCACTGTCTTGTAGTTTAAAGTTCTGATATATTTCATTTTTATTATTAAAAACTAAATCTTAGTGAATGGAAAGAGAAGAAATGTTTCTGCACCAGAGGAAAAAAGTAAAAGCTTTTTACTTTTCACCAGAGACTTGTTTGATTCAGACATGTTGTTTGATCAGACTGGATTTATCAAAGTGATGTGCTCCTAGGACCTTTTAAGTTTATCTGTATCTTTCCCCTAGAGTATGGGTTGGCTACCTGAAATATTATAGACTGTTGGGCATGACATGTTTATTGCCAACTTTTGTTTATTCTTTATGTGGTATCTTGCTAGACTTTCAAGATTTTATAAATGGGGATGGACATTTAATTGACATATCAGATGTTTTTCCCAATCTGTTGTACTGTAGTACTTGGCATTGCTTAGTGTTTTGTCCTGATTTCTCATACTTGAAATTGTGGAGAATGGAGAACAACAGTGTTTTCAGTTTGAGATCTGAGTACATTTTATACATTTGTCACCAAAGAAGGGAACAAGAAATTGAAAACAATTCAGAAATAAGGAAAACAGCTTCTAAGGTTAATATGATTATCTTATTTCCAATAAAGCAGTTTTCTTATAACAAAAAGACTTCAGTATTTACAATGCAAATTTTGCATCTTTGTGCTAGGGCATGAGAACTAAGTGAATTTTTAAAATGTAATCAAGCAATGGTAATAGTGAAAAATACATCAGGATTTTTAAATTCAGTTTTAATTGTCCATAGTGTTACCGGTAATGACATTTGTTTTCTAAAAATATAATTTTTAAATGTTTTCCCTTGGGGGAAATTTTTTTTGTTTTTTTGTTTGGTGCGTTTTTTGTTTTAGTTTACATGCTGTTTTATCTAGGTATAAATATGGGTGAAATCCTGGCAAAATGTCCATTGATTTCAACGGAACCAGAATTTCCCCCTATGTTTTTATCAGACTAAAAAATTAAGTTAAGAGTTTTCTAAAATAGTATTGCTCTACCTTCTTTGTACTTTGCCAGCTACCTTAACAACATATGGATCTTGATGGAAAAGAACACTGGTGATTGGGTCCTGTTGCAGCAAAGGGATCTGTATGGGTATAAGAGCCTGCTCATGTGGATACTTTGCAGGATCGAGGCCTTTCACACCACTTGTCTGTATACAGTATATAGACCCATACCTTCTTAATGCAGTTACCAAAGCAACATGCTCCTCTGCTGTTACTCTGCCATTCAGATTGGCTTTCAGTTCTTCACACGTGGAGCATAAAGACTTCAGCTGCTTCTGATTCTCTGATATCTCCTCTTCCTGGCTCTGTTTCTTAGCTTCCAAAACCATTAGCTGTTTGGTCAATTTTGAAACTTCATGGGGGGGAAAAAAAAACTGTTGACACAACAGACCTAAACCACAAATCAAGTCAAAATTCTAAATAAAACAACAGGACATAATTTAATAGCTGCATTAAGCACTGGACCAACTGTTGCTTGACTTGTCAAATTAAGTATTGCACTTTTATCCTATGGCTTCTGCTATCTGTCAAGCAGTTTATCGAGATTCTAGTCTTATCCACAGTTAAGAACAAAGAGAAAATCCTTCTGTTATAAACCTGAGTTTTCACTAACTTCTTCCTTGGCCAAAACTAAACCTCAACCAACCCACCTGAAATTCTATGTGTATGTTCTTATGGCAGGGCAGAGGGGGGGTTATTTGTTTGTTTCCTGGAAGATTTGGGGCAAACTGGAGAACTGTTTGGAAGATATGAGTGTGTGTGTGTATGTATATATGTGTGTGTGTGTGTGTGTGTGTGTGTGTGTGTATATCTATACCGGCGAGCCTATCTTACGCGGGGGTTCCGTTCTGCGGTTAGCGCTATAGTGAAAACCGCGTATAGTCAAAATTACATTGAGTTGAATGGCGGGCGGAATCACCCGCACTACAAGTACAGTATTAAAATTGTTGTTTTTCTCTTTTTTTGTTTGTTTTGTTTTTGCCTACCGCGTAAAGCTGAAATTGCGCATGTTAAATGCGCGTAAGGTGCAACAGATCTGTATATCAAAAAAAAGTTGTTCACTTCTTGGATATTTTCTTGATGTATTTTGGCTCGTCACAACCCCAGAACAGTTTGGCCTAGAAACTTCAAATTAGTTTGACTCTGTTGGTCTTGGTGAGGATTGGTGCCTTTTTTGAGGGGGAGGGATAGCTCAGTGGTTTGTGCATTGGCCTGCTAAACCCAGGGTTGTGAGTTCAGTCCTTGAGGGGGCCACTTAGGGATCTGGGGCAAAAATCAGTACTTGGTCCTGCTAGTGAAGGCAGGGGGCTGGACTTGAATGACCTTTCGGGGCCCCTTCCAGTTCTATGAGATAGGTATATCTCCACATATTTATTTAGTAGCTTTGAGTTACAGAATGAATGATTTTTTTTTTAATTTAAAAACACTTGCTATGAATATTAGCAGCCCCGTGGAGTTCTAAACTCTGCATGGGCCCTGATGCAGACTTCATAAAGTTTCATATGCCAGGTGCAGATTTTATAGTTAGTACTGCAGCCCATGAGTTAAGACCTCTTCAATGTTCCCAGTATACACAGAAACTTCCCAAGACTGTGGATTTCTGAAAGCCAATTCAACTAAAGCACAGAAGCCAAGGAACTTTAGAATTTTACTTTTCTCATGGCTCTCTGAGATGTCAAGGGAGGAACACCTATATGGCCTCTAACTTCAGTAATGTATACCCTATAACAGAGGTGGGCAAACTATGGCCCGCGAGCCACATCCAGCCCATGGGACCGTCCTGCCTGGCCCCTGAGCTCCCAGCCAGAGAGGCTAGCCCCCGGCCCCTCCCCTGCTGTCTCCCCTCCCCCGCAGCCTCAGTTCACTGCGCCGCCAGCGCAATGGCGTGGCTGGCTCTGGCATGGTAAGGGGGTGGGGAGTGGGAGATCCTGGGGGGCAGTCAGGGGACAGAGCAGGGGCGGTTGGATGGGGCGGAGGTTCGGGGGGGGCGTGGTCAGGGAACTGGGAATAGGGGGGGCTGGATAGGCATGGGAGTCCCGGGGGGCCTGTCAGGGGGCGGGGGTGTGGATAGGGGTCAGGGCATTTAGGGGACAGGGAGCAGGGGGGGTTGTGTGGGTCAGGGGCTCTGGGGGGGGCAGTCAGGGGACAGGGAGCGGGGGGGTTGGATAGGTCGGGGGTTCTGCAGGGGGCAGTCAGGGACGGGAAGTGGGAGGGGGTGGATGGGGGCGGGGCAGGCTGTTTGGGGAGGCACAGCCTTCCCTACCTGGACCGCCATATAGTTTTGCAACCCAGATGTGGCCTTTGGGCCAAAAAGTTTGCCCATCCCTGCCCTATAATGTAAGAGGTGGGTGTGGCTTAAAATGTACATAGCCAAAAATTAATATCCTTTAATATCCTCAGGTAAATCACATGGTCATCTGTGTTCACCTACAAGATTCCTTCCTAGGTTCAAAGAATCTCAGTGACACATCCAAGTTATGTGTTATACATAGCAAATAACTACTATACTAGGATACTTATCACATTTTTGCAATCATACCTTCAATAGAAAATGTAGGATTTGTGGGACACAGTTAAGATTTTTCAGGGTACATTAAACTGAATTTCCATACTTTCACAATTATTTTACTAGAAGTGTGGCTTTCTATATTCGGGTTTTAAACTACAACCTATTTTAAGGTGGTTTTTTTCCCTTTAGATCCTGCTAAGTTTCTAAATGTTCATAGGATTTTGCTGGTATAATAATACACCACAAGTAGCAGAATGATTCTTTATCTAGAATCTTTTCCCTCTTACACTTTGTTTTCTTCCTTGCATGTAATTAATGTTCTGAAATCAACTACCAATTAAGGAGTACAAATCTGAATTAAACTGTGTATGTTGTGGGCTTGATTCTCACTATAAAAGATGTCATGAAATTTTAAGAAAGGTAGGTTATAAAAATTAGTAGAATCAATAATGTTATTTTTGAGATAATTAACTATTGTAAAGCAATGAACATTACCTACAAAACAGAAAATAAAATCACACAGACTCCAAATGATTTATCTTATACAATATTTAAATAAGATCATACTGTTTAACATATTTAATACTACATAAAGCTAAAAGCATTCTAAAATTACTAACAAAACATACTTTTGTACATAAATAAAATATTATTTTACACTTCTGGTCACTATTTCCAGTAGAGAAAGTGACTTCTGATTAACACATTTTGGTTCAAGATGGTATGTATTACATAATGTCTGCAAGGGAAATAACTTGGATATTGATTGTAATTATATTATTTTGACTTAATGGTGCTTTTAGGCATGTATTAATTAAAATAATACTGCAGTACTATCTCTGCTACAATCCAATTAATCCACTCACACCCCAGTCCTGGCCTCACAAAGTTGCAAGACCTCCTCGTTAACCTTCTTCCAGCACTGGCAAAGACAGCCATCCATTACACCAGGAGAAAGCTAGACAGGGTCATATTCTGCAACTATGGGGTCTATTTCCATTCCCTTCTCCGTTCACAAATCCAGGCAGAGTTCCTCTGGGCAGTGTCCACTGACTCCCTAGATGCCTTTGAGGAACAGTGGGCGCTGTCCAGGGTTCTCTGTTCGGTATCCTCCTCTGGATCCCTGATTCTTTACCTCAGACCTCATCCTACTCCTGTTGAATCATTTGCTGTCTTCCATATTCAACTGATCCCTGAGTCCAGTGGTTCTTCCTCATTAATTGAGGGGGAAGGCCTTTAGTTTTGGGCAGGCCTATGCCGGCCCATCCCCAGTACTTCAAATAGTACAGTCAAAGTAAGTAGCAATTGAAGTATCTTACCTTCCTGAAGATGTTGGTTGTAACTCTCCTTTGCTTTAGCCTGCTGAATTTCAAGTTGCTCCATCAACACTCCATTTTCTTCCAAAACCAGCTTTGCCTGAGTTTGCAGCTGCTGCCTATGATGATGATTGATTTAGAAATAATGTACCACTCAAACATTAGTAAGTTAAATAATTAAAAGAAGACACAGAAATGAACCTTACATTAATTTTAGACTGGTATTTTGCATCCTTAACTTCAAGAAGCTTAATGACTGAACCCAGATTACTTTAAGGTTATTAGAGTGCAATTATTACATTACAATGTCATTTTCATATGAAAATACCTCCTTAAAAGTACGTTTTACTTTCTAGAATGTTGAAAACAAAATATGAATGAAGAGGGGAAATGCAACAACAATGCAGAAAAAAAGATGTGTATCTGACAGATATGGCAATTTCCTGAATATCCCTGAAAGACCTTATTGAATTAAATTTAAGTATTTTTGGGGTCCATTATATTAAATAGATGGTTTATGTATTATTGTGGTCTGGGATTGTATGTAGCCTCTCAAAGGAGATGTGATAGATGTGTGACCTGCGGGCTCAGAAGACTATATTGAACAATGTGCCAGACAAGCATTTCTTGGAAGAAAACACGGTAAGTGGTTTTCCTGGGGAATATCTAGGGGGAGGTAAATGCAAATTCCCCACCCTCAACACAATTATGCAGAAACCCAGTCTTTTGAAGCTATGCCCCTGAGGAGTGAGCCATTGTCTGCTGTTCACCTATTACATGAGGCCATGATCAAAGGCCCAAGCTGTATAAAGGAAAGACTGACCTATTCATGATTGTTCTTGTTTGGAATCTGAAACAGTTATGAACTTGTAACCACAGGAAAACCCAGCTGTAGGTTTTGAAGGACTGACATCTACCAGAGCCTGAGGTTGGAGTTGGTGTGACTTCTGGTAAGCTTTTCAGCATGCATGTGAGTTCTTTTATTGTTTTAATGTTTTCTCAGTAATGCTTTCCCCTTACGAATAAATGTTTAGAGAGAGTTATGTGGGAGCTTGTTGGTGCCCTTGAGGGACCACAGAGTGGGTATAAAGGTGCAGTTGCCCTGAACTGTGATAATGTATATTTGAATTAAAGCCAGATGGCTCTCCTTTGTGCCAAGTGCATGAAGGAGAGGATAGCCAAATGCTTAATACTGGATCACATAAAATATATCTTAAGACTTGCTAAGTCATCAGTTCACAGCTTATAGATCTAGAAATAGTTGCCAGTGCTAGTCATATAAATGCTATTTATGGGACTTGGAAAAGAGAGCCTTTTAATCTTAGCTACCTCTAGCATACAACTGATCCTTTGCTCTATACTAGGCATTAATATAGCCTTCTAGGAAGCAAATACAAGTCTTTTTGCTGTTAGGAAAAGTCTAAGGAACTATTTGTGTTCTGATGTGATAGCCGGAAAAGTAGAGAAGTATTGTCCAGGATGCAAGCAGAAATATAAGAAATGTGGACACTTTGAAGACAAATAAGATGCAGTTCATTTGTTTGTGACCACCTGATATCATACAAAACCACCAAATCAATTAGCTAAACTTTACCCAGTCATAAGATATAGGGCTAACAGTTATCAATGATATCAATATTAACAAAAGTTTATAGATGTGACCAAAACAAGAAAAATGTAGCCTTATCATATATAGAGTGTTGCAGTATGTACAGCTTGATAATATTGTCTGTTACAATACACGAGTAGAGTGTGCAAAATGACTATGTCAAAAAGACTATGAGTACGCAGCATCACAGGCTATAGAAGGCCACACAGGACCTGGGTATGTAATCAAGCGGCTAGACAGTGCTGCTGCAGCTTCAATGCTATTGTTATTTGAGATAGATAGATAATCAAAGCTAGGTCGGATATGTCTACACACGTGGCAGTCACACTTCTGACTGCAGTGTAGATATATTCTATACTCCCATTCTTGTCTGTCTATATCATATAAATGTAGTGTGAGTGTTCATGAATTTAATTGCAACATGTTTGGATTAGGTTGCTTGTGGATGCCCCAAACACATCCTGGTGGCCACTAGTCATTTGACCTTAAAATATGAAGCTGGGGTCTGACCACACAAGAATGCACCAATGATCATAGCTGTCCTGAAGATTCCTACAGTTCCGGTTGGCAAATTGGACCAATGGTGGACAAAATTATTCTAAATCTGGTGGGGAAATCATATAATAAAAATTGCCTCCCTCTCCCCAATATCTTGCTACTCATATGAAGGTGGGATTATGTTGCTAGCAGTTTTTCCCCAAAGACTTCTGAAATTTGGGGAAGGGATCATAAGCAGCCATCCCTTGAGATTTCTAAAGTCCCTACATTTCTGAAGTCCCTACTAATGGGCTAGTGCCCCCCACCTGTGGAATTCGGAGGTGGTCCAATGTTATTACTGGTGGTTCTAGGACTAAGCTCTGCCCTTCATCTCAGGCCACCAGAAGAGTTCTTCCACAGCGGTAAAAACACTCCAACTAATTATTAGCATTAAGAAAACTTGATATAATGTATTAAATTAGCCTTAAGACAATATATGTCTATGTCTCCCTTTAGAGACAATTTATATTCTGGTCATTTACCAGACTAGTAGGGTGGGTTGAATTCAGAGAGAGCTGCTAACAGGGAAAAAAAAATTACCAGGTAAGAAATTTCTCATTTTGTTGCACAGTTTCTTTCCTCATTCATTACTAAAGGGAAGTAGCAAGCAAGAAATCCTAGAAGCAGGGAGAGAAAGAATAAGTAGAGTTTTATAGTAGAATTACAGGCAGGAATGGAAGTCGTTCCCACCCCTCTCCCCCCGCCACCATAGAAAGCAAGAACTTCATAAATTAAGGAGTTATGTGGGAACCAACCCAGTAGCAACTTCCTACAAAAGGATGAATCTGCAAAGGAATGGAAACTTACTTTGCAACGTTTTTCAGATGAGGCTCATACATTCTCCACATCTTGCCTGTAGCAACTTTGAGACTTAAGGCCTTGGCATTTTGGATAAAATGAGATGAACAGGGTACAGTTGGCATATGTACTCCATTTTACAGTTCTAGGAATGCCCATTTTATGCCACAACCTTCCAAGGGTTACAACAAAATGATGAGATTCCAAGAATTGTAGAAAGAGAGAACTTACTTTAAACAGAGAGGTTTCTAGAGCTATAAGAATATTCTTTCCCTCATGATAAAAGCAGTGTGGTTCTTGTATAGATCATCATCTCTTTTCTCGCAGCACCAAGGTTCAGTAGGGCTGATGATGAGTAGATTCCATCCATATCTGTGTTGAGCCACAATTTGAGCTTGTTGGGGTGCTGACTGGATGGTTTTATATACCATATTATACCACTGTCTCCTTGGATGTCCACTGCTTCTCTCTCCTTGTACTCTTTAGCTTTTCTAGATACGCATTTAAGGTTACAAACATTTTTATTCAGGCATGCAAACATTCTGCTGGAAGTAGCTATCCGCTTGTTGATGTCATTCATCTTCATAGCAGTTGTCATAGGTTATGATGGAACCCAACTAGCAGAAACTGTCTACTTGTTTAATGTCTACACCATAATGTCTAGTTTAGCCTGTTTCTTGATGTTACCATTAGTTTGATAGTTTGTTCACTCGTGTTTAATCCCCATTCTCTGGCTGTTATATACAGGTTAATTGCTGCTTCTTGGCTGTATTCCTCCATAGGCATTATCACTATATTGTCTGCAAAGTCAAGGTGATTGATAATTTGCCCCCAATATTTTGCGGCCTCCGCCAATGTTACTAAGGGAGTTAGACAAAATGTTTTTCTAAATATAGAGCAAAAAGTACTGGACTGAGTACATATCCCTGCTTGACTCCAGTTTTCATTGAAAATCAGCCACTAACACATACTGCCATACAGACTCTGCAGTATTTGAATCAACTTGCTGATAAAACCATATCACTTGAGTGCCTTCTACAGAGTCTCTCTGTTAATGGAGTCAAAAGCCACAGCAAATACTCCCTGATGGGGAGAAGAGATTTAACCCCTAATTTTCACCCCACTTATTCGTTAACAATATTAATTGCTGCCTTGCAAAGGACACATTTGTTTTTTTCCTTTTTGGGACCCAGACTCACTCAAGGGGAAGTCTTGCAAATCCCAGAATCCTGAGAACCCCCCAATTTCCAGTGGGAGGAAGAGGAGCTGTGGAGGAGTCCTGCTTCTTCCCCTAGGGAGTGGAGGACCCACTTTGGTTTCTGGAGGAGGGGACAGGAAAGAGACTCTGGATCCTTTCCAGGATTCCCATTCCATTCCAGACCTGTTGTGAGACTTACCCCCTGAGTTGTCCAGATAACTTTTTCCTCATTCTTAGACTCTTTTACCAAAAGCTCAGAAGCTCCTGAACAGGCTTGTTTGCATTGGAGTCCCAGTTCCTTGGAGCAGTGGGGAACTGACATGCCAGTCTGCCTCTGAGCACCATACCCTGGCAATGTGCAATATGAGGGTCAGCTAGCTGGGTACAGGAAGGGCACAAGTGATCCTCTGTAAAGCCTGTAAATGCTGCCTCACACAGGGAATACCACTTGGATTTAAGCCAGGTGTTTGTAGGACAGTTCTGACATGCATGCCTGAGTGGGAGCAGAGGAGTCCAGCAAGTAGGTGCTGAAGCAGCAGATCCAAGTGGTTATAATCGTCATGTATGTTGCTATGTATCAGAGGGGTAGCCGTGTTAGTCTGAATCTGTAAAAAGCAACAGAGGGTCCTGTGGCACCTTTAAGACTAACAGAAGTATTGGGAGCATAAGCTTTCGTGGGTAAGAACCTCACTTCTTCAGATGTATGTTGCTATTTACCCAATCTGAGGCGGGGGGGAGGGGGAATATAAATTGCTACTGCACAAAACAAAATAAAAGGTTTTAAAACAAAATGGTTGGAAGAAACTGAATCGCAAACTTGTTCTACTACCAAAGGCAGAAAATCTGGGTGGCCTCAGCTGAAGGGCAGAGCTTAGTTGTGGAACATCCAGCAACCATGCTGGATGGCCTCCAAATTCCACAGGTGGGGAGCATTTGTAATGAATGAGGACAGAAGCAGTGTATCAGAAATAGTCAATTCTGGTAAAGTTGAATAATTTTTGAATAAAACTTACTTTACTTGATTTTAAGATTAGTAAATTAACTGATTAATTAAAACATTTGAAAGAGAGTTTTATAGAGAAATGGTTAGTGTACAGTGTACACTGACTCTCTTCTCTTTTGGGATATGAAGTTTACTTCAAATTAAATCAAAGAGACTGAAAATATTGTCCTAGAAAAATCACAGATATCATGAAGATTTGTACATTGGACAGATCTTAACAAACGTGTATCAAATGTACAAAATCTTTCCTACTGGTATTGAGTATTTGACATTAAGGGACTACATTTCAAAATCAAACTCCCATTGACTTACATGGAGCCAGGATTTCACCTGTCGTGTTTATATGCTCTTAAAAGTCTGTTTGTATAAGAGTAGTATAATAAGAGTACTTTTTCACTAATTTCTAATAAATACAAACAAAATCCACTTGCCATTCCTTCAGGGTAACAGAACTATTTTTATTTAATTGCTGGTGCAGTTGTTCATTCTCCTTCACCAATTCTTCAACTCGTATCCTAAACTTCTTCATGTCCTCCTGAAATACAAATAAATTCACATAAAAATATCAAAACATACATATTTTGCTTCAGCCTCATGCTATAAGAAATATTTTTATTAACTTATATCTGAGTGTATTTATATCATGCATGTAAGAATAGTAAGTTTACTTGACTGCCCATCTTTAACTCAGTTTGTTAGTGTCAGTGCTGCTGAAGGAAGCATACCCATACCTACATTGAAAATTACTTAACTGATTTAAATATAATTTGGTAAAAAATATATGCATTTTCTGTATTTAAAAAAAAAAAAAACACCACTGAGAGAGAGGTTTTGGCTTCATGTCCTATGATACAGCCAAATTACAACCTCCCAAATAATGGAGGTTTATTGGAGTTACCAGATGATGCTACTAATTTTCAGTATACTTGATTATGGAAATATATTATGGTGAACTTACAAAAACAGAGCCCTAGGTGTCTTCTGTTCATCCTTGTGAGGAAGAAGAATATTGAAAGATACAAGACTTTTGCTCTGAGGCTGAAATTTATTTCCTTGCAATTGGCCCAAAATATCTCGTTGTAGAAAGGAATGAACACAGCAGATGCACAGGAAAGCTTTGCAACTTGTGTCCATTGCAGAGGTTGGTTCTGTGCTGTTTTCAATAGATTCAGTGGCCAAGAATTCTCCCTGAGAGTAGGGTTGCCAACTTTGATTGCAGAAAAGTGAACAACCTTGCCCCACCCCTACCCCACCCTTTCTCCAAGGCCACACCCCTGCTCACTCCATCCCCCCTGCCTCCGTTGGTCGCTCTCACTCACTCATTTTCACTGGGCTGGGGCAGGAGGCTGGAGTGCAGGAGGAGGTGAGGGCTCCAGCTGGGAGTGCAGGAGGGGACTCTGGGCTGGGCCGAAGGGTTTGGAGTGTGGGCAGGGGCACCGGGTTGGGGTAGGGGGTGGGGGTACAGGCTTCAGGGTGGGACAAGAAATGAGGGGTTCAGGATGTGGGAGGAGGCTCTGGGCTGGGGCAGGGGGTGTGAGGGGATGAGGGGTTTGGGGTGCAGGAAGGGGCTCCGGGCTGGGGCTGAGGGGTTCAGAGTATGGGAGGGAACTCAGGGCTAGGGTGAGGGTGCGGGCTCTGGGAGGGAGTTTGGGTGTGGGAGGGGGCTCAGGGCTGGGGCAGGGGTTGAGATGCAGAAGGGGGTGTTTGGGGTGCGGGCTCCAGGCAATGCTTAACTCAAGCGGCTCCCGGAAGCAGCTGGCATGTCCCTCCAGTCCCTAGGCGCAGGGGCAGCCAGGGGGCTCTGTGTGCTGCCGCCGTCCACAGGCACTGCCCCCGCAGCTCCCATTGGCTGCTGTTCCTGGCCAATGGGAACTGTAGAGCCATCGCTCGGGGTGGCACCTGTGCTGCAGGTAAGGGCAGCGCACGGAGCCCCCCTGGCCGCCCTTGCACCTAGAAGTTGGAGGGATATGCCAGCCGCTTCCAGGAGCCACATGGAGCCGGCTGATGCAGCCAACTGGACTTTTAACGGCAGCTGACCGGAGCCGCCAGGGTCCCTTTTCGACCGGGCATTCTGGTCGAAAACCAGACGCCTGGCAACCCTACCAGAGAGGGTGGAAGAAGGCAGTGGTCACTATTAAAACCTCTAGGGGCTGCAATGCAATCTTACAATCTTCCCTATTGGTTGCAAAGGTGAATTCTTTCCTTCCCAAACTGCAGTTGAGACCTCCGCACAAAGTCTATTTACTCTGGTTTTCACCCTGAAAGGACAATTCTTGTACATCTCAATGCTCTGCCAGCTCACAAAAACAAAACAGAGAAAGCAGGCAGAAAAAACAGATGGCATAATGTGTATGCAAGCCAAAAATCAGAGCAAAGCTAGTTCTAATTTTAGGCCTCCAACAGCTTTGACAAGATCCCTTTAAGGATTTCAACAGTTTGTGATGTGTTCCTATTTATTTCCACTTTACTGTTAATTTTTTTTAATTATTTGCCAACTTGCCTCATGTGCAAGATTTAAATCTTCCTTTTCTCGCATTCTGTCTTCATATGCCAGTAGGAGAGGTGACAAATATTTCATATCCAGCTGAAGGAAAAGACCCAATGTATTTTAATCCATGGAAATATATTCAAAAACATATAAATATTTTAGGTTCCTTCTTTAGTTCCATATTTAACTTTTAATGTAGTCAGATTCAAGCCAGAGTTTAAGTAAAATGAATGAATACGCTGAAAATGTAGAACTCCGCACAATACACAGGCCAATAGATAGTGCAAAAATTGATGAAAAGATGAATTTTTATAAGCAGAAAATAAAGGCCTGATTTTACATGATGGTTGTGTGCTCTCAACTCCCATTAACTGCATCTGCAGGTGATTTCAATGGGAGTTCAAGGGAGCCACTAGCTCATAGAATTCCTTATAATGAGAACTATAAAAGATACTGTACATTGATTCACAAAACTCAGAACACCATTAACTTCAATAGGAATTGTGAGTGCTTAGTACCTCCCAGGAGATGGCTCAGCACTGCAGGTTCAGCCTGTGTGCTAAATTCTGGCTCTCACAGGCATTTTTGTAAGCAGGAAAAGCCAAAGCTGAGAGAGAACTGCTCAACTGGTGAACTTGAACCTGTCCTGGCTACCTAAAAAACACCGGATCTCACACTCTGCAAGTCCTCCATGGTTCTGATTGTGAAGGGGGGTGGTCCATTTTAGCACATTCCCACTGAGTGAACTCCAATGCACTCACCTTGCTTGAATTACTTGTGCTCTTGGTACACTGTGCAGGTGAAGGTGCAGGGATTATGCAAGCATTCATAGGCCAACTAGAATGTCCACGTTTTCCTGGGACATTATTAAGCCAAGTATTGGTAAAGTTTGATCCTGCTTAGTTTGAGATCTGACAAAACCACACACCAAGGTGCTATGGCTACAAACTAAGAGCATCTTTTTCACTATCCTGCCAAATTCTAAATTCAGGATTGAAGTCAGAGGCTATTTATGTGTTTAAAATTAAGCACCTGCATAAATGCATTCTGGTCCATACATCTAAGAAGTTGGAGAAAGGACTTTTCCTGCATTTTTGATATTGTTTAAAGTGTTTGACTAAACATAGAAGTGGTGGAGGGGAATCTTGAATTTCGGATTTGGCTGGAAAATTGAGACATTTTGTTTTAAATATTAAATAATTATATTTTATAAAATCTGTATAAGTATTTTGTTCCTCTTTTAAGATTACCAACTTTTTAAATATTGTTTTTCATAAAATTTTGCAGTTCTTCTTTAGGGAGGATATACTCTCTACAGTACCTGGATAAAATATGCCATTTGTCAGCATTTGAGCTGTGCTTTTTTGTAGCTCTTAAATAATTTTAAAAATACAGTTAATCAACAGTTCCTGCAATTACATTATATACTGGACAATATCAAACAATAGCAATTTTTTCCACTTCTCACTAATGTGTTTTTGAATGAAGGCCATAACTCACAATAACTTCAATAGCAGATGTACATGTTTAATGCAGGGCTGAATTTTGCCCCCTATCTTAAATCATAGTATAAAGATTAATAAATGCCCATCATCTCATAACTGCTAGCATGTAGTAGCTCAGCACAGTATCCAAACAATATTCTGTAGATTTAAATATTTCTGTTTCAAATTTATTTGGAAAGTATACAAATTTTAGAAAAAGCTAAGATTAAATACAACAATTAACCAATATATAGTAAAGGTAAAGATACTGATTTACTTACCAGCCAGGGAGGGGGTGGCCCTTTCGTTGGCAGACCTCCAATTTTTATATTCTAAAATAATTTTAGAAAATTGGAATTCAAATTAAACTGTTTCTGCTTTTTGATTCCTCAAGCATTGTCCACTCGTAAACCAAATGACTCATAGGAATCTTTATACTCAGACATATGTTTCTAAGTAGATAATATGTATAGTACTTACAGATTCACCAAAACTGAGACTTTCTATTCTTATTGATATAACGTAAAGCATAATTTAATCCAGGCTAGTTTACTGGTAAATTCTCAATTTAATTTTCATAAATATCTGTATCAATCTGAGAATTTAAGATAAGTCTGAAGAGTATGGTATTATAAAAGGAACTCTAAATAGAATGTAGGAATACTGGTAAATTTTGGTGTGAAAAGAAGGATTATTTGAACCATAACATAAATGGGTCATGGTGAGGAAACCATTCCTTTCATGAGTTTATTTTAATAAAAAAAGGATTTAAAAAATCTCTACTGAAGGCAAAGGGGTATATTTTCCACCAGAAGCACACGCATAGTTTCAATTAAGCATAAAATCAAGTTGTCATTTTGATGTATCTGTGAAATTTATACAGCCCCCATTATCACAGTAACTGAGCATCTCACAATCTTTAATGTATTTATCCTTACAAGGTAGGAGGTACATAAGGACATAGAACTGTAAGGGACCTCCTGGATCATTGAGTCCAGTCTCCTGCTATTGCAGGCAACCCCGTTGTATCATCCCCTTCATAAACATTCAGGCTGCATCCTGACAGTAATATTCTTCCCCTTTGACAGATGGGGAATTGAGGCACAGAGAAACTGGGTGACTTGCCTATATTCAGAGAGGAAGTCTGTGGTGGAGCAGGGAAGTGCCCAGGCTTCCCGAGTCCCTTGCTAGTGCTCTAACTGCTGAGAAGGATAAATGTGAAACTTCTCTTTGTTCAGTTACCCCATGTTAACACTTGCTTGTGTGATTTACAAAAAATAGTTGTAATTTACTTCTGATTATTTGTAAGTCTTTCCATGGTGCTCAGCACCAATCAAAGGTTCTCAAAAGGCTTTATGATTAGACCTATTATCTAATTTAACCATGTCAATGTCTTTCACTTTTCTAAATATCTAAGCAATAAGAGGAATTAAATGTTTGCCTAGTTATATTGTGTACTGCTTAAAGTGGTAATACATTATTGTATTTATAGACTTACAGAAAGACATTGTAAATCATGACAACTACCATCACAGCTAGCATTAGTTTTCATTCCTGTAGTAGTCTCAGTTAAGGCCACATGTTGAACAACCATTTAAAAAAAAAAAAAAAAAAAAGGTACACATTTGTCAGAAGCTTCATATTTAAAGCTTATTATTTCCACTTTCATCTATTTGCTATTTCCTCCTTTCAAAAGCATTGAATTCAGACCACAAATACCAAAAAACTCTGAAGATTTTGCTACCAGCTATAAATTATGCATTTTAAGATATATTAAAACTTAAAAGCATAGTGAATTCTAGTCATATCCTTTGAATGATCAATTAAAAAAAAAAAGACTTAGTTGAGAAATAGTAAGGAGGATGTAAGTATCTCTAGGGAGCTAAGATGTAGGATTTACTGTCAAGAAGAATTAGCAGGTAGCAAGGAGGTTCTGCTGCAAAATGGCCTTTACCTCTTCTGTAAAAAGCTTAATGAATAGATGTCTGAATCATAGTTCAATGAGCTTTCACAGCATTTGCAAAAGATGGATAGCTATGATTAGTTGATAAAGGAGAAGTAGCTGAACAAGAAATGCCAGCAAGCATATAATTTACTGTTTCCTTAAATTAAGTATATTGAACAGCAGAGTAGCTAACCATGTCGAGTCGTTAAATTGGATAATATTTTTTAAATGCAGACTTTTTTTTTTTTTTCAGCCAAAAAGACTTCTTGTATCAGCATTTACTTTGTAAATCAGGTTATGCAACTACTTAGATCTTACGTTCATTATATGTTTCAAAAGAAAGAATAGATGACATTTGACCTGGAATTTAAATGTGAATCTCTACTCATCCAATCCATCCTTTCTACAGCTCATGCAATAAAGTGGGCAGGTGGTAGTGCCAAAGTAACATCTTACTTGCAGAGAACTAGGTCTTAAGAGGGAGGAAGAGAGCAAAATCCTCCTAAGTCTTGAGGAGATCTTGAGCCCACTAATGCCTGAAGGTCTGGGAGGAGAAGGGAAGAGAGGCATAGTGTTTGGTTTGGTTTGGTTTTATACTGCCTGTTTGGAGTTTACAAATTGTTAAGATGGATGAAGGAAATAGTGTTTGAATTGAAGCCTAGAAATAAACTAAAAATAAAGAGAAAACATTTTTTGCTTAGTCTTGGCTTCCTTTGAAACTTCTCTCCAGCTGTTCAGGCCCTGGCCCTGCCAAAAATTCAACAGGGATTTTTTTTAAACCTGTTCTTCCTACAGTAGGTAACTTGGTGATACACTTATCATTACTAATTAAGGCCCCCCTATCCTGCAATCTTATCTGTGCAGGCAGATCCTTACACCTGTGCTGAGTCCCAATGAAGTCAGTGAGGCTCTGCACAAGGGGCTGCTGGCATGGATCTGATTGCAGTACTGGGGCCAAATGTCTGACGTCAATTGGTCTACTTATATGTTTAAGGAGTAGTCACAAGGTTTTGTGGGATCAGGCTTTCAGTAACTGATTTATACACTCCCTACATTACAGATTGGAGATACTAAAAATAAAAATGCATTGTTCCCCTTTTTCCATGAATTGTACAATGTATTGGGGAAAGTAATCCATTGTACCTAAGTGATGGCTGCATACAATACAGTTTCTGAAATGATAGAACAAATGAAGTAGATAAATAATACAGTATTTCGGTGCACAGGAAAAAATTCACTTTGATATCTGAGTATTCTCATTACAGTAATGTCAGATAAATGTCCTATAGTCACATCATATCTTATTTTTCTGGAAACAACATAAAAACATGAAATATACATTGATGTATCAGCTAGCTGCCTAGATACTAAAGCAATCTATAGGTATGCAGATCCTTAAAATCTACCAAAACCCCCAAATATTTCTTTACAAGCACCAGTAACCAGGAATATTACCTCATCTTGGGACAACGGCCTGAATTTGGTTTGATAGCGACTCAATTCCACATTCAAACGATGGACAGTCATTTTCAAACCATCATTTTCATCTACCAGTTCCTGAGCTTGTTGTCTCAATGAAAACAATTCTGCAACTTCCTCTATATTTAAAAAAAATAAAAGCAAATCACAACAGTCTGACAAACACATGACACCTGCACATTAACTTAGTTGTCAAAATTCCTTAATCAGGAATGGAAAAATTACAGGATAAATAACTTCTATTGACACATTACTAACCACACAAAAAACAATAAGAAAAAACAAAAGGAAGATCCATTTCATGTGTTCTGTGGCGTAATAACTAGTTAGTTAAGGGTCACATAAAAACATTAACATTCCTACATTTAATACTTATTACTATCAAACAGTTTAAATAACTTAATTTATAAACTATTATTGTATGACAAATGTGGGTTTTGACTTCTGCATTCTATGTAAACATTTCCAAACTATATTTCTATATCTTGTATGCTAAAAATGACATGGATGTGGAACAAAAAAGAAATATGCAGTGCCTGTTTTAAAAAATAGTGGAGGATGGCTTCATTAGTTTCAAGTAATAGAAGTGAATGCCTTCTCTTACCCAAAAGGAGACTTTATTTCAGTGGAGTCCTATGCACCAAAAAGACTACAAAGAAAATGAAAACATGCTGTTTTTCTACTGATGGGGAACTCCATTTGTACTACATACTGCAAAATCAGTATTAAAATTTCAATAGATTATGTGTTTAAGAAACATGCAAAGCACTGCAGAAGAGTCCAATCTTGCTCCCATCCCACTAAATGGGAATTTTACTCCTGATTGCAATGGAAGTAAAATTGGGCCAAAGTGCTGAATCACCAATACAAAAAAGGACTGTCAAGGTGCTAATATGATTTACTTAATTTAAAGTTACAAGGGAGAGGGACTGCTAGTGGAAATACATTGTATTAGACTTAATTTTACTTAACAACATATTCTGTTGGCCTTCTCCTTCAATAGCCAAAGGCCTGCAAACAGATATAAAGCATTAATACAGCTTCCAAATATTGCAGATTCTCCTTTAGCTCAAGGAGTAGAGCTACCATATTGCTTCGGGATGCAGGGATTCTCAACTGTAGTGAATTTCTCACACACTTAAAAAAAAAAAAAAAAAAAAAAAGCCAACCCACCATTTAGTGGACTAAAAAGATGCAAGAGACTCAAAAAAGACTTTCTTAATGTCTTCTGATACATTGCTAAGGGACTTCCAAGGTGCCACTCCAGCGTTGAAGTTTTTGTGGGACTTTGAGACATCAAATTCACCTGAAGCTTTATTAGACGAATTATGACCAAGACTTGTATAGCACTCCATAATCTATTTAAAGAACAGAGCTGATTATATTCTGTTACCCTTGGAGAATTATTTCTGTCTGGATATATGCTGAGGTCACCCCATGTGGGGACTCAATTATTGAGGGGACAGGTTTTGAGTGAGTTAGAAAATAAAGCAAGATATCGTTCTCCTTCAATAAAAGATACTCTAAAGTTGTATCCCACCTTCCTTATGTGAACTCTCTGCAGCTTTTCTACATTTTTTATTTTCTTTTTCCAGTGTCTTAAGTTTTAACTGTAGTTCCTTTATTTGTTGTTTTAGTTCCTCAAGTTGTAGGGCCATAGTCTGATTTGCATTGATTAGAGACCAATTTTCTTGTTTTAGTTCTTGGAACTTCTCTTTAGTTGTCTCCATCCGTCCTTGTCTTGCCCGAACAGATACATCTACAGATGATAGAGAAAACATGTTATAAAACATACAGTATTCACATGGTATTCAGACTTTTCTACATTATTAGGTCCAAGAGAGGGAAAAAGAATATCAGTCTTTTCACAAATTACTAGCATTATATTACTGAAAAATAAGTATCTACAGCTGGTAGAATAAGAGTACATTAAGCTAGAATGCATGTTAAATTATTTTAAGGAAAGGATCTGTAGGACACAAATCAAATCATGGCACTGATGGGCCTGTGGGGCCAAGAGGGAGAAAAAACTATGGAGTGAGGAAGGGAGTTGCGTAAAAGGACCATTACCTCTGCCCCAGTGCTTCCAGTTACCACTGACCCCACTGAAGATCTCCCTCTCACAGAGACCAGCAAGAGTAGTAGCAGGCTTCCCCCTCTCCTCCCTCCGCCCCCAGTATATCTGCTGAGGTGAGCAGGCCAAACCTGCTGCTCCCTTCTCCTGCCACACACACAGTCCTCTGTTGGGATGGTGTTGGAGGCTCCCATCCCACCCCAAACAGCTGGCCTTCTAGTTAACACATTCCAGGGAAGCATGAGGTCGTTCACACCTTGCAGAGCTACAGTTTCAGGCTGTCTGCAGAATCAGGCAGATATCACTGCATCAGTTATACTTTGATCACATTTTCAAACTTTTCTTTGTAGCCATATGAGTTAGAAAACTTGACTTTTTTTTTTTTTAATGTAAGTTGAGATTCTAGTCTCATCAATGGACTCCAGGAGTTGGAGCCCTAGGTATAAGAGGCTGTGGCCTACAGTGCCTATGCCTGAATCCAGCTCTGCTTAGGCCAACTGTAGAAGGGGGCTTCAGAAGTATAGATATCCATTCCAAGAGCTGCTTGGGGAACCTGGAGTTAGTTATCTATATCTTTGTAGATATCTGATAGCTATAATATAGTGGTCTCCAACCTTTTTACACATAAGATCACTTTTAGAATTTAAGTGCAACCCAGGATCTACCCCTCCACTTCCCCCGAAGCCCCGCCCTGCTCACTCCATCCCCCCTCCTCCATCCCTTGCTCTCCCCCCCACACACACTCACTTTCAGCGGGTTGGGAGGGAATGTGGGCTCTGGGCTGGGACCGAGGGATTCAGAGTGTGGGAGGGGGCTCCAGGCTGAGCCTGGGGTGCAGGAGGGGGTGAGGGGTGCAAGCTCTGGGAGGGAGTTTAGGTGCAGGAGGGGGCCCCAGGCTGGGGCAGAGTGTTGGGGTGCAGGAGGAGGTACGGGGTGCTGGCTCCAGGAGGGGGGGTCAGGGCTGGGGCAAGGGTTCAGGGTGCAGAAGTGGGTTCAGGGTACAGGAGGGGACATGGGGTGGATGTCTCTGGGAGGGGGCTCAGGGCTGGGGCGAGTCTTGGGGTAAAGGAGGGGCTGAGGGGTGCAAGCTCTGGGAGGAAGTTTAGGTGCAGGGGGCCCCAGGCTGGGGCAGAGTGTTGGGGTGCAGAAGGGGGTACGGGGTGTTGGCTCTGGGAAGGAGCTCAGGGCTGGGGCAGAGTGTTGTGGTGCAGGAGGAGGTATGGGATGCTGGCTCTGGGAGGGAGTTTGGGTGCAAGAGAGGGCTCAGGCACAGTGTTGGGATGCAGGAGGGAGTATGGGGTACTGGCTCTAGAAGGGGGGTCAGGGCTGGGATGCAGGAGGGGGCATGGGGTGCTGGCTCTGGGAGGGGGCTCAGGGCTGGGGCTTGGGGTGCAGGAGGAGGTTCAGGGTGCAGGAGAGGGTACGGGGTGCTGGCTCTGGAAGGGGGCTGAGGGTTGGGGTGTGGACTCCCGCCATGTAGCACTTATCTCAAGCGGCTCCTAGTCGGCGGTGCAATGGGGCTAAGGCAGGATCCCTGCCTGCCAAGGCCCCACGCCGCTCTCGGAAGGGGCCAACGTGCCCCTGTGGCACCTGTTGGGGGGGGGGGGAAACCGCAGTTCCCTGTTCCCAGCCAATGGGAGCTGCGGGGGCGATGCCTGCAGAGAGGAACAGCACACAGAGCCACATGCCCATCTGCCCCCTAACCAGGGGCCACAGGGGCGAGATGGCTCCTTCCGAGAGCGGCGTGGGGCCGGGGCAGGCAGGGAGCCTGCCTTAGCAGCAGCCCCGCTGCACTGCCGGCCTTTAAGTGCCCGGAGGTTGTCATCGACTGGGAGAGTCTCCAGGATCGACCAGTCAATCGCAATCTACGGGTTGGTGACCACTGTTATAATAAAACACAAGAGGCTTGTCTATACTACAGCCAGTTTATCTGGTATTGGGTGTGTTGGGAGTTGTTAACCTTTTCATATGGCATATGCAAGTGTGAGGGCATAGCAGCTTTTTATACAGGAAAAACCTTTCAAAGGAAACAAAAGAAAAATCATAAATTTGAACATGCGTAAATATACCATAGACATTATACACCTCTTTAGAAGATCGACGGAGCTGTGCCTGGAATTGCTGGTTAGATGCAACAATCCATAGACTCGGCAATAGCTGAAGGCAATGCCATGTGTGGATGTACTGCATCACTGCAATTTACACCACTTCAGTCACATTGGTGCAAGTAGCACTGGTAAAATTCTCAAGTGTACACAAAACTTAGGTGACTGGGGAGAAGGGGAAGGATAAATGTTACAATATTGACTTTCATTCAGATCTCCTAGAACATGTCACAAAGATGAAGATTCCCAAGACTCATGAGGTAAATAATGATGCTTAGGTATTATGAATTTCTTTAATTCCAAGTTCCTTTCGCCATATTTCACTATTGGCTTTATATTCTGTTAACGGCTAATTCTGTACCTGACCTCCCACTGGGAAGTCTGGCAAATATCATGCTTTATACCTGACACCTACGATGACTCTTTAATTTATTAGAGCGACAAGGGGGGTGAGGTAACATCTTTTATTGGACCAACTTCTGCTGGTGAGAGAGCCGAGCTTTTGAGCTACACAGAGCTCTTCTTTAGGTTTGAGAAAGGTATTAAGAGTGTCACACCTACATACAAGATCAAATAGATAGTTTAGCATAAGTAGTTAACACATAATCTAAGACACCATTCAATGTGAAGTGGCCTGTTAACACCTTTGGAGTCATAGGCCAAAAAGAGGGGTTAGTGGGTTACAGATTATTGTAATAAACCATAAATCCAGTGTCTTTATTAATACCATGATTTTTAGTGTCTAGCAAAGCTTTGAATTCAAGCTCCAAATCTCATCTTTTGAAAGTGTTGTGCAGGTTTCCTTTGGGGATGAGGACTGATAGGTCAGATATAGAGTGATCACTTTGTGAAAAGCTCTGTGTAGCTCAAAAATTTGTCTCTCTCAGCAACAGAAGTTTGTCCAAAAAGAGGTATTACGTCACCCACCTTGTCTTTCTCCTACCTGGGACCAACATGGCTACAACAATAATCTTTAATTTATTAGCAGACATGCTATGAAAATAAATCCTCTTCAGTGCCTATGATCGTTACCTAAATTAATCATATTCAGCCAAAATTCATTCACATTACTCACATTTGGAAAATAAAAACAAATATAAATAATTCATGTGATGAAAAGCCTGGAGTTACTGCTTTTGTACATATCACTGAGTATTCAACATTTTCTATCTCTTGTACCTCAAATATATAACTTTTGCTTTTTGTGTAAAAGCAGAAAAAATGTCTTAATGTACTTTATTCTAAACCTTTCACTTTAGGGATTATGTCAAAAACAAGAGTAGTACCTGGGGATGGTGGAGGCTTTTCGCTTAGTGGATTTTCAACTGCCAGTTTTTGCTCCTAGCAAATAAACAAAATAATGTGAGATAATTTGCTGTAACAGTTATCCTTTTCTATTTTAACAACCTCACCATCAACACAGAAATTACACTATTTATCAAACATTTAAGATCCAAGTTTTATCATTACAATTTTGTAGCCCTTAGTCTCTTTTTATGTAATGAATATTTTGTCTCATTAAACGGATGACAAAAGAAACCATAAGTATAAGGGAGGAGTGTGGTCTTTTAGATAGAGACAGACTCTGTCACTGCCTCCATTACCCCTGCTGCAAGTCAGTTTAATATCTCTGTGCATCAGTTTACCTATTTGTAAAACTAAGTATTAGCAGTGCTTGGCTAGTTAGGCTGAGGTATAACCACTTACACATTTCTCCTCACTACTTGATTGATAAAAGAAAGGGGTGTGTGTGTTTTTTTGTTTGTTTTTTAAGAAAAGGAGGAGAGAAACAATGGTTACTTACAATAGTGGCTACAGTCCTTTGAGATTACTGCCTACATGAATACACTCTGTGCATGATGCACATGCCTTGGACTCAAAACTTAGAATTTTCTAGACAACAGTGTCTGTTGGCCCACTGACTTCAAAGGAGTTGAGAGCACTCAGCATCTATGAGGATTAGGACCTAAATTACTTTGATCTGTGGTAGTGTAAGTAATTTGTATCTAGTTATAAACAAACATTTCATTATATACAACCTGTCCACCTAGATAATTATATAGCGACCACACTGTAGTATCTGAGCACTTAAATTACAAAGAAAGCAATGCTAAAGGCCAGTTTCTATCCACAGTCACCTGGTAAAATACTATTTACTGGCAAAATCTGTGAGAGTTCCCACCTCCTTCATACCTCACAAAGTAGTAAGTAGCCAGCTGTTTCACTCATTTCTGGCCACCCACAGATCTTTCCAACTGTGTAAATTGCATTATAGTCAATTTGCTAAGGCAATCAGAAATGGAAACTGCTTTCAAACTAGGGATATTTTTCAGATGAGAAGGAAGATTAAATATGTTAAACTTTTTAGTTGTTGACAGAGAATAATGGTTTATTTGCTCATTTAAATATCAGTATAATACTTAAAAGTGTATAAATGAAAGTGTAGTGTCAAGGCATACAGTTGGGTTTTTTGTCATATGGCAGACATCTAGAGTCCTCTGGTGGCTATTATAAATTGGTTTCACTGTACTCTGAGTGGAGAACTCCTATACAGGAAAGAGAAGGAAGCTAAAAACTCTGAATTTGTTTCCTTACTCAACAAAGTGCTGGTGAAGGTACAAGAGCCTCACTAAGTCGTGCTGTGATCCTGTCAAGCAAAGCAGAATAGGGCTGGATCAAGAGACCGCCTGTAGATTCTGCAGGAATAACAGTTACTTACCTTACAGTAGCTATGTTCCTTCTGGATTTGTTGTCAATATATATTTCACTGGTGGGTGCGCATGCACCCAATGCACTCGAGTTTGGATTCTTTTGGCCAGCAGTCTTTTGGGGGCTGACCTGAGAGTCCTCGTGCCTCCTACCAAGGACATAAAGGGAGGGGCAATCCCAACAGCTCCTCAGTTCCTCGACAATACAGAATCAAGGTGTTATCAGGCTTCATACCAGCGGGGAAGAGAGATGGGTCATGGAATATACATGGACAATACATGTTAAAGAACCACAGCTGCTACAAGTAGGTAAACGTTTCCTTTTCTTTCAATGCTTGTCCATATATATTCCACAGTTGGTAACTCAGAAGCAGTGACCTAGATGCGTGTGTGCTAGAGGAGGCTTGAGGGCCTGGCACAGCAGGAGAGGGTGAGGGAGCCCAGGCTGGTGGAATGGGTGGGCTCACTCGGACTCCAGTACATCACGTGGCACCCCAGAGTGGGGGGTAACCAATCACACGGGGGTCCTGCCATGACTGCCTGTATCTCCTCTACCCTTCTGGTCAATGTTACTGCTACTAGAAAGCTGTTTTAATGGAAAGATAAAACAGGGAACAAATGTTGCCAATGGCTCTACAGGTGAGCCTATTAACCCCATTAGTACAATATTTAGATCCCAAGGAGGGTGAGCCTCAATGACTGGGGACATACCCACATAAAGCCTTTCAAAAATCTAGATAGCGTAGGGTGTGAAAATATGAAATACCCCTGAATTGGAGAGTGGAAAACTGCTGCTAGTGAGATGGCTGCTAGGTGATCTTCAGGGAATTCACTGACAGTCCAGAGCTCTTTAAAGAGAGAAGGTAGTCCAGTATGTTTGGTATCTGTGACGGGTATAGGGATACTGCCATTATTGCACCTGGGCAGTGAATTTCTTCCATTTAGCTGCATAAGCACACCTCGTTGAGTCTTCTGTTATGGATTAGGATGCTTTGTACTTCAGATGAACAGTATCTTTCCACGGAGGTCAGCCTTATTGTATTAAGTTTATGTATTATTGTGGGACAGGATTGTACGTAACCTCTTGAAGGGGGAGATGTGAACAGATGTAGAACCTGAGAGTTCAAAAGAATATACTGAAAATGTGCCACACAGGTATGAACTTTTTGGACAATTATGTGGATTTCCTGAGGAATCCCTAGGGAACAGTTAAAGCAAATTCCCCAACTACGGTTATGCAAAAACCCAGCCTTCTGTAACTATACCCTGAATAGAGCGCCATTGTCTGGTGATTACCTAATATAAAAGGCCAAGGTCAAAGACCTGAGCTATATAAAGAAACAGCTGATCAGCCCAGTTGTTCTGATTCTAAGATAGATGAACCTGTAACCATGAGAAAACCCAACTGTATGTTTTGAAGGACTGGCACCTACCAGAGCTTGAGGTAGGGATGATCAGGTAAGCTTTTTAGCATGCTTGTAGGTTGTTTTACTGTTTTCAACATATTTTCTCTGTAATGCATTTACCTTAAGAATAAATGTGCTTGCTTAGAAGGAGCTGTATGGTAACTTACTACTGCAGGCAATACACTGGTCAGAGCTACCTCAGAGAGAAAGCAAAGCACAGGTGCTGGCTTTTTAGGCAGTCTGCTTGCTCGGGCTATCACAGTGTAAGGCATGGATCTGTGCAGCCTTAAAACTCCTGGTCAGGAAGGAGTGAGACACAAGTCTCTGCCCATGAGAGACAATGTCTGAGAGCCAAAAGCCTAAAATGTGTGCCCTTGGTGGATCAAAAGGGGGATTACAGGTACAGTTGCCCTGAAACTGTGACAAAGCCCAGGGACCATGTTATCATGAATGCATCAGATAGGAATCCCTAATTATGTCCTCTCTGGAGCAGAGCTTTTGATAGTTCTCATTTTCTTTGGTGGCAAAGAGGTATATGGTGTAATAACCCCACTTTAGAAATAGGTCTTGGATTATGCTGTTACTGACCACTTGTGGTCACTTGAAAATTGTATTCTGAGGTGATCTGTCATAATGTTCTGTAATCCTGACAAATGTACTGCTATCAGAGTAATTTCATGGTAGATACAAAAGTTCTATATATATATATATATACAGCCTCCTGACATAGAGGAGTGGATCTTGCTCCCCTTTGCTTGTTATATAAAACATGGCTTTAATAGTGTCCATCATGATTTGAATTATCAGTCCTTTCAGAAGCAGGAAGAAAGCTGTGCATGCCCGATAAATGGCTTTTAGCTCAAAGACATTTATGTGGAGTTATGTTTCCCAGAAGTCCAAGTATACTGTGTTTGAAGATTGTCCAAATGGGTTCCTCATCCTAGTGTGGAGACATCTATCACTAACATCTTTGAACTCACAGACTTTCAGAGGATCCTTCCACCAATTTAATGATTATGGGCCTTCTGATGGAACACATACTAACATATCCAAGTGGGCTTGGCCAATACACAGACTTTAACTACCCTTGCATGCAATGAAATTGAAGTCTGGAATGCTGAGTTACATAGGTACAAGAGGCCATGTAAGCTCTCAGACTGAGACAATTTCTTGACAATATCCTAGAGTGAGTGTGTAGGTGGGCAGATAGGTGTAGTAGGACTTCAAATCTTTCTTGTGGCAACATGGAGTCTCATTGCTCTTATAGAGTCTATCCTTTTGAGTTGGAGTCAGTATTGACTTTTCTCTGTTTAATTTTAGGCCTAAAGAGGCAAAAAGATGCAGAGTACACTGAATGGAGTCTGTTACTTTCTATGCAATCTTCCAAAAATGAGACAGTCATGCATACATGAAAACACCTGTACTCCTTGTCTCCTGGACTAAGCATTTCGTGACTACCGTGGGTGCTGTTGCTAGGCTGAATGATAGCATCCTGATAGTAGGCACTGCCCACCTGAGATGTCAGATATCTTCTGTGGCCAGAATTAAGAACATAAGAACGGCCATACTGGGTCAGACCAAAGGTCCAGCCAGCCCAGTATCATGTCTGCCGACAGTGGCCAATGCCAGGTGCCCCAGAGGGAGTGAACCTAACAGGTAATGATCAAGTGATCTCTCTCCTGCCATCCATCTCCACCCTCAGACAAACAGAGGCTAGGGACACCATTCCTTACCCATCCTGGCTAATAGCCATTAATGGACTTAACCTCCAGGAATTTATCTAGTTCTCTTTTAAACCCTGTTATAGTCCTAGCCTTCACAACCTCCTCAGGCAAGGAGTTCCACAGGTTGACTGTGCGCTGTGTGAAGAACAACTTCCTTTTATTTGTTTTAAACCTGTTGCCCATTCATTTCATTTGGTGGCCTCTAGTTCTTATATTATGGGAACAAGTAAATAACTTTTCCTTATTCACTTTCTCCACACCACTCATGATTTTATATACCTCTATCATATCCACCCTTAGCCTCCTCTTTTCCAAGCTGAAAAGTCTAAACCTCTTTAATCTCTCCTCATATGGGACCCGTTCCAAACCTCTATTCATTTTAGTTGCCCTTCTCTGAACCTTTCCTAATGCCAGTATATCTTTTTTGAGATGAGGAGACCATATCTCTACGCAATATTCAAAATGTGGGCGTACCATGGATTTATATAAGGGCAATAAGATAT